GGGAGGCTGAGGCAGGAGAATGGCGTAGGCCCGGGAGGCGGAGCTTGCACTGAGCTGAGATCCAGCCACTGTACTCCAGCCTGGGCAACAGAGCAAGAGTCTGTCTCAATAAATAAATAAATAAATAAATAAATAAATAAATAAATAAAGAGTGAAAACTGAACCAAGGGTGCAGTGGAACAAATGACCCTGGACTAGAATAAAGTCTCTTTCTATGCAGGTGAGGAAGCCTCTCTAACACCCAAGAAGGGAAATGCCAAAAGACTCTCAGCCTTGTTTTAGATGCCACATTTCCTCCTGCCACCAGTATAGACAGCATCTCCTACACGCAAATGCTTTTCGTCCCTCAGCTTCAGTACTGATGTTCATGTTTGGTGGTGGAGGCTGGAGGGGTGACAGGGCACAGGGGCAGCAGGGTACCTCGAGATCATCTGTGAATTGTGAGTTAAATACATAACATCCGAGAAAGGTAATATTTAAGCAAGAGATCAGAATCAACTAGTATATTCCCCAAAGCTACCACATAGCTCATTGAGCTAAGAGCACTATGACTTTCTTTACTCAACCTCTCCACCATTTCCAATGTTTGCTGGGATTCTTGCCAGGAAGGAGAGGCCAATGTGTCTTAGATCCACTCCAGGATATTGCCAGTAATGCTGCCAATATAGTGTACAGCTAGTGTACACATCAGCACTGTCCCATCATCAACTAACTCTCTCTCTCAGCTGTCTAAGACTACAACGGGCTCCTTAGGACACATAAAAAGGCAGGAGGCAACTGCTTTTTCCATTTTGCTCAGGAAAAGATCTCTTTTCTTTTCCCTTTGTTCCTCTGTGGCATAAAGTGCACAAAAATCCATTTTTGGGCTCCTAAGTTAACAATGTGAAAACCACATGGTAAACAGCACTCCACTTACGTAGGATGTTTTGGATTCTGCATCCCAACAGTCACAGGCGTAATGGGCCATCTCATTCTCCATGTGCTGCCGAAAGCGGAGTTTATCTGGAGATATTCCAACCTTCGTGAGGTAGAGGTAGATGCGGCCAATGAAATAGCCTAATACTGTGTTATTAATCACACCCTAAATCAACCAGTAAGAAAGCAAGCATGGAGGAAGAAAATAAAACACACATTAATTTGAAAGCCAAGATACCATTTTCCATTGACTCCTACTGAAAAATATTTGAAACCCAACGCAAACTATTTTATCTTGCTTTCAAAACAATTTCAAATACTCAGAATGAGATCTTGGTTATTTTTTAATGGGTTAATGTCAAGATGATGATAATGGAGTTATTCAAAATCTGTCCAACATACTTAGTGGGTCAGCAAAAACTCAGCCCAGTACCTCATACCTTCTAAATCTACAGTACTAAAAACAATATTCATAATGACACTAAAGAATAGCAAAGATGGCCGGGCGTGGTGGCTCAAGCCTATAATCCCAGCACTTTGGGAGGCCGAGACGGGCGGATCACGAGGTCAGGAGATCGAGACCATCCTGGCTAACACGGTGAAACCCCGTCTCTACTAAAAAATACAAAAAACTAGCCAGGCGAGGCGGTGGGCACCTGTAGTCCCAGCTACTCGGGAGGCTGAGGCAGGAGAATGGCGTAAACCCGGGAGACAGAGTTTGCAGTGAGCTGAGATCCAGCCACTGCACTCCAGCCTGGGCCACAGAGCGAGACTCCGTCTCAAAAAAAAAAAAAGAATGGCAAAGACATTCCCTTCTGAATTAACCAAAGTAATGAGACATGTTGAGGGGATTTTAATGTATCCTTACCCACTGAAATTTGTGAACCCCATAGAGTACACATAATCATTTTAGTGTTTGGAAGGACCTTAGAAAACATCTAGTCCCATCTCCATACACTACAGAGGTCTTCTCCGCAAAGTGGCTGACAAGCTAACGACCAATCTTGCCAGGAATATTTTCAGGGCCAGGAAGCTCACTGCTCCGCGAGGCAACTCATTCCACTAGTGGACAGCAGCTACTGTTGGCAAGTTTTCAGGCACTCACTTCTCCAGGCAAATATTTACAAAGTGCTTAGATGCAAGGCCTTATTCCACTGCTATGAATACAGAAGAGTTTGAAACCCAGAGGGCTTGCTCTCTGTGGGTCCAATTCTGTCTCCCCCAAAGTAGTACATACTGTTCAGAGTCAGATTGGTGAGGCACAATCAAACCAAGATCTATTTTCCAAGTGCTCTGCTAAACATTTGTTTTTCATGCTAGCCCCAAGGCCCACAAATTGAGATGTTCAGGTGATTTTTCTCTTACTATAATAATACTGTATAATAAATTCTTTACAAAACCAAGTACTGTATAAAAAGCAAATGACCGCCAAAATAAAATACTTTGTCACCCAGAACACATAGAATTTGCTAATTACTGCAAACCCTGAACAGGCACAATCTAAGTTAAGTTACCTCCAGAATCCTACCTGTTCAACAGCATCTCCCAGGCGCATTTTCCGAGCGGACTGTCCGCTGACCTGGGCTTTTGCTGAATACAAATAAAGGTGAAGGTCTGCCACATTTTGGAACTTGGGGTGGTCTTTCTCACTCGGATCGACAAAGTGCTCAATTTCTGCCATTGTGAATTCTCTGAAAGCAAAAACATAAGTAATATATCTGCATATTTAACTACAAAAAATAATAATAATAAAACAAACAGTAAATAAGGCCCCTATTTTCAACTGCATTCTAGTGATAAAGGCTCCATACTACAGTCATCTTTTTTACTAAACAGAAAGTTGGTTTCCTAAGGGAATGGCTAAAAAGTTCTGAATTAAATTTGTCTGGGTAGTTGTTATTTTTATTTTTTTGATGTATTATATTTCTACAAATGTATGGGGTACATGTGAAGGTTGTTATTTTTAAACACATTAATGAAAATTTTATTATTCACTATTTAAAATAAATATGATCTAACTTCTCTGAAGTATTAATTCCTTCCCTCCAGCTACATTCAAAAAGATTATTAGTTTTAACTGAAAATAACTTGTTAAAGGCAGATTAATACAGTTTTTTAAATTAGGAAAACATACGCAAATAGCACATGCAAAATAAGAAATAAGATATTGAATAGTGACATCCAGATAAAATGGTTTTCCTTAATGCATTAGCAAGTCTTTATAAGTATACACTAAGTGAAGTTCTTCATCCCATTCAAAGAATGGGAAATTAAAAGCGAAATGAAATGGTTCTTTAGTTTTCACAGCAGTTTGATTTCTTCTTCTTTACTGCTACAAAAAAGTAAATGACTGATAATGGCATCATACAGCTGGTTTCTTTGGAGTAAGAGTTTCTTAAATAAAGTGTTATTCAAGGCAAAGGACATAAGGCATGAATTGAACAAGCTAACATCAAGCTAATTACCTAACGATGAAGTGCACACTGTAATGGTTTCCCAAAGAGATTTCTCTGAATGCAATTTAGTAGCTATTTGGGGGGAAAGTGTTTCAAGTTAATTTTATGAGTCAAAATCAATCTCTCTTCTTTCAAGAAAAATCACATTTTCTGGTGTACTTCCATGATTATCTCAGATGTTTTACAAGTAATGTAAAATTGCTTAAATGGATCCTAAAAATACATGAAATATACTGCAAAAGAGGTTTAATTTTTAAATTTTATTTTTTAATAGTGTCTCTTATTTGGTCCTGCAGCACCTATGTTTTAGCTGTCTTTCAACAACTAGGAAACATCTTCTGCGCCCATATAAATGTGAGAGAAACAAACATGATGTTTGTTCTCACATAGCTTGTAAATGGGCTGACAGCAACTGAACATCTACAATGCGGGACAGGATAAATTAAGGGCCCTGTTTAGAATCCCCAAAAGGCTGCTGCCAAAGTCTTTCCATCTGTTCCGTCACAAATCTCAGCACAGTGTCTATAGTTAATGATTCACTGTATACCTGAAATCTGCTCAAAGAGTAGATCTTAAGTAGGGCTCACCACTAAAAAAAAAAAAAGTTACTATGTGAGGTGATAATTATGTTAATTAGCTTGACTGTGGTAATCATTTCACAACGTTTAAGCATATCAAAGCACCACACTGTGTGACTTGAAATCATACAAATCATACAAAATTTACTCATCAATAATCTCAGCTCATAGATAGAAGGCAGGAATCATCAGAATTCTGAGTAACTGTATCTGAGTTCAGAGACTGTACCTGAAACTGTAGAGAACTAAAATATACACAGGCTAGGAAGACAGACAAGTCAATCAAAATAAAATAAAATTTTAGAAAGTCTTCATATGAACAATCTAATACCCCTAAACTAACAAAAGGAAATACAGCTATGCAAAGATTAATCACCAGAGAACTCTGCCATCAAGAAGAATCAGAACACTACATGTCCTACCATGGAACAAAAGCCAGGAGGATGCTGACTCATGAAAAAATTAGTGGACTTCTGGTCAGGAACTTGCAAGGGACATAACAAAACTAGCCAGAATTCAGACACAACACTTTGAAGTGAAAATGACCAAAGAATATACTGTTGAGAAACCCCAGAGCCTTTCCACCAGTTAACCCCTGGGATCACTCCCAAGTTCCAAGCTGGTTTCCCTACCCACCACTTTTTTACTGCACAGGTCCCAGACACTGCCTTACTTCTCAGTCCTTCTCAATAATCTTCCCATAGCTACTCTGTGTAAACCCTCTTCGTAACACTGGCTTTAGACAAGGTCAGTCTCACACAGCTTCCTCAGTTTGGGAAGGCATGCTTGCTAGATATTGAAACGGTCAAAAACAAACAAACCAAAAAAAACCACTCAGACACTGGGAAATAAAACGAAGACTCAAATCTGACAAATTTTTCATTGCTATCATACCTGGCTAAAGTTTCTGATGACCTCCTCTTTTTACATGAAAGCCCAGAGGGGTCCTTCCCCCTACTTCCTCTAAGTTGTGCACATTCTTTCCTCTGTAAGTCCCTCCTTCCTAAACTGTAAGCCTGAAGGGCCTAGAGATACAATTTGCACAGAACGTCGGCATCTTCTCCCAGGTGGCCTCATGGGAACTCACAAGATGAGGCAGGTGCTGTGGATGCTTTGATTCAGAGTCAGTGCCTGGGCTATGTTATGACTCAAGTCTGTAATTACAGTGAGTAAGAAGAGGAGACAGGAAATGGGTGGGTGCTGGGGCTGGGAAAACACTTTGGGGCCTTAGAAAGTTATGTTGAGCTACACCTCATATTTTATATGGAATGTATTACACTGAGAGATGGTACCAGGAATAACATGTATAGAAATCACAAAAAGCTTAAGTCATAAAAACAGCTAAGTCATAATAAATTTCTAAAGAAATGTGGAAATCACCAGCTCCAATATGCCTTCCCACACAACCCTGGATAGATCAGACAAAAGTAGGCTAATTGAATAGAGGCAAGTGAGTGAATACGAGTCATGAGGGTAAGCTTGCTTGCTGGCCTTTCTGTCATACAGGCCCCCAAATACCTGGACGGAGGTTGTGTCCAGAACACCAGTGGGTTACTGATACATCCTCACCCCAATTTTACCAATGTTGTCTGCCCTAGACACCTAGAACAATCCTCCTGTCATAACTTTCACCCTATCCCCACTCCACACTTTCATATACATCACCATTGCCAGGAATGCCTTGGTTTAGACAATCAAGATACTACCACCCTCGAAATATATGATGAACAAGGAAAAAGGTAATTTTGGAGCAGGTGAGATTTAAGATATTCTCCATCCTCCTTCCTTTCCCTTCAAGTTCACTTTTGTCACTCAAAACTGCCTATCATCCTGGAGATTACATTTAGAGGATTCCAAATGTAAAACATGATTTTTGGAGAAGACAAAAATAAATTCATAATCAGGATTATGAAGCAGAATTGTTTCAATATAGCAAGCTTTCATTTTCAATGCAATGCCAAGGTCATTCACTAATTTGTAAGAGTAACCTGAGCAGTACCTGACTCTGATCAGTCCAGATCGAGGGGAGATCTCATTTCTAAAAGAATTTCCAATCTGGGCAGCAGCAAAAGGCAACTTTCCTTGGTTGAATTCCAAAAGTCGTTTGAAATTCAAGAAAATTCCCTGTGCAGTTTCTGGTCTCAAGTACCTATAAATTTAAGTAAATCAGTCTGTTACAAAGAAAGAAATTATGTTTTCCAACAATCCTGAAATTCTAGATACAAATCCTAAAAGTCCTAAATATACCATTTTCACGACAAAGTTGTACAGGCCCTAAAATGAAGTTTTAGAAACATTTTCCTCAGTATCAAACATTTTCATAGCAAGTATTAGAATATGTATTAATTAGTGTGGCAATACTACTGTTGGCAATGCCATTTCATTTCATTACATCAGTGAGTCAAAACCCCATTTCTCAAAAAGCAGAAATAAAAATAATTTAAAAACACCACCTCAGGCCAGGCGCAGTTGCTCACACCTGTAATCCCAGCACTTTGGAAGGCTGAGGTGGGCGGATCACCTGAGGTTGGGAGTCAAGATCAGCCTGACCAACATGGAGAAACCCTGACTCTACTAAAAATACAAAATTAGCCAGGCGTGGTGGCGCATGCCTGTAATCCCAGCTACTCAGGAGGCTGAGGCAGGAGAATCGCTTGAACCCGGGAGGCAGAGGCTGCAGTTAGCCGAGATCACACCATTGCACTCCAGCCTGGGCAACAAGAGTGAAACTCCATCTCAAAAACCAAACAAACAAAAAAAAACACCACCTCTCCCATAGTGCCACCTGATGTTTTCTAAGTCATCATGTACATGAAGGCAGATGACCATCTTAGATCCTCTGGAAAATAATACCTACGCCTATGTTTAGCCCTGTTAACCCACATATTAAAACTTAACTGAGGGGCTAAAAAGAAATCAGTATGGGCTCACATTTAACATCAGCACTCACTTATCACTAACTATCACCTCACCAAGCCAGGTAATTTTCAATGTTTTTCAAATCATTTTATTCTCTGCAGTATTTTATATTTTCAACCAGAGGCTTGCACATTTCTCTGTATTTTAAAGATATAGTCAAGCAAATACACTATTAAAGCCACTGCCCTCTCAATTTCCTAGGAAATATCCTGTGCAAAACATCCACTAAGGAAGTGCTCCCAATGGCCTACTTCAAAATAAGTATTTTACTAAAATAACTTTAAAACCAAGGGGTAAAAACCCTAAAATTGTACTCTCTTCTTACTTAACAGACGAACTCTTTTGATTTTTATGGCCCTTTCCAGATTTAATCCAAATGTAAGTAAAGTTTACGTGCATATTTCCAGTTACTATGTATAAAATTATGTATTATTTATTTTATACTTTTCCATTTTCTAAATAATAGCACAAATTTCTCACATTAATAGTGGCAGAATATTATACTAAACTAATCCACTTTACTATAATTTGTTTAACCACTCTCAAATTACTGAATAGGTTATTTCTACTTTTAGTTTACATACTGCTTTTAAGTATAGTTTCCTTTCCTTCTGAATTATTTCCTTAGATCAGTTCCCAGAAATGGAACATCTGGGTCACGGGTTATGTCTCGTTTTATGACTCTCTGTACATATGGCCAAAATGAAAGGCTTGCCACCGGCCTCTTTCCATGAAATATTCCAAATCAACCTGATGTCTCATTAGAATAATTAACTGTGACACATTTTGTCACAATTAATTTTTCTTATTCTTCAGTCCCTCCTCTGGGAAACATGATCTATCTAGCTCATGTAGCAAAAACCTACTCTCTTACCGTAACGTAAGAAAAATATCTAAAGCTATGAAAGGGAACATTGGCTAAGTCTGTTAAACAGTGGACAAGGAATCAGAAGATAAAGATTCCAATTCTGAATCATACTGTAAACTAACCAGATATTCTTTATCCGTGAAAACCACATCTTTCAAATCAACAGGCTACACCTATGCTGTCCAATATGGTAGGCCACTAGTCACATGTCTATTTAAATTTCAATTAAGATGAAATAAATTTTAAAATTCAGTGCCTCAGAAGAACTTGACCCATTACAAGTGCTCAAGAGCCAAATGTGGCTGGTAGCTAATCACACTGGACAACACAGATTACAGAACATTTCCATCACTGCAGAAAGTTCCATTGGACAGTGTCAGGCTAAACTAAATGGTTTCTAAAGTATCCTTCAGCAATAAGTTCAATGGCTTTCAAAACCATTCTTCAACTGTCCCTTCTGCCCTATGCAGCTATAACTAGAAGATATAGTAATCAGAGATTTTATATCTATTTTATGGCAAAAAAAATACATATATACCAAAACAGAAATTATATACAGAAAGAACTTTTTTAAAGTAAGACTTATTTCTGCCATTATTTCTCCATAAAATATTCATCTGTAGTTCTGTATATCACTTTTTAAAAGTTTTTCCTTCATAACATTGATATTTACCTTTTACTATAAGTAATTTTAAAAACTTCATTACATAAACAGGTAAACAATAAGTGATACACACCCAGGCATGTTTCCTCCAGGCCCAATGAAAGTCTTGAACATTAAGTTAAAAGATACTGGAGGGGATAGGTCATTTCCAGTAATGGGAGATTTTACATTATAGTTCACAAAAAGATCCGTAAGTTCTTGCTGTCCATAGTTATCAAGCTAAAGGACATATAAAGAAATTAGTGTAAAAGACAAAGAAAACAAGGCATAAGATATAAAGTATTATATGAAACCCTAGCAATCCACTGTTACAACTCACACAAAATTCAGGAACATCACAATTAACCTAACCTTCAGGACACCCACATTAAAACCATAACCAGCCGGGTGCTGTGGCTCACAGCTGGAATCCTAGCACTTTGGGAGGCCGAGACGGGTGGATCATGAGGTCAGGAGATCAAGACCATCCTGGCTAACACAGTGAAATCCCATCTCTACTAAAAATAAAAAAAAAAAATAAAAAAAAATTGGCCAGGCGTGGTGGCAGGCACCTGTCGTCCCAGCTACTCGGGAGGCTGAGGCAGGAGAATGGGGTGAACCCAGGAGGCGGAGCTTGCAGTGAGCCGAGATCGCGCCACTGCACTCCAGCCTGGGCAACTGAGACTCCGTCTCAAAAAAAATAAATAAATAAAAATAAAAATAAAAAGCCCATAACCAATTTACACACTTTCCATTTATCAAGAGAGAAACAAAATATCTTTCTGGGACCTAAAACTCATATGGTCACTGTTTCAAAATGAAAGATAAAGCAAAATACCTCTTATTCAATTATAACAGTTATTAGTTGGCAAGAATCTGAAATTACATAAATAAGTTTACAAAGCTGAATTTCAGTACTCTGAACACACTTAAGGTGCATTTCTGCATTTCTCTGTATTTTAAAGATCCAGTCAAGCAAATATACTATTAATAGCCACCACCCTCTCCTCAATTGAGTAATTAAATGTGCATTGAACTTTCCCTTAGGAGCTAAGATATTAAGCTCCTAGAAGATAGAAGCTGTATCTTATTAACCTCAGCATTTTCCAGTGTATTGCACATTCTATACATTGATCATCAATGCCAAATCCTGTAAAATGATGTATGACCTCCAATTCAAGAATTTCAAGTGGCTATGACAAACCATCTAATAGTAAGGAACATTTAAAACTTAAAAGTCTCCTAATAGAAACAAAGTAATTCAATAAATCAATTAATGGCCATAAGAACTGAAGCTTTGAGTTCAGAAAGACCTGGGTGTATCTCCCAACTCTATGCCACTTATGGGTTGTGTGACTACAGATTAAGTCTTACGTAACTTCTCTAAGAACAGGGGAGAACAGCATCTATCTCACTATGTAAGACTATTATGAAGATTAAAAACATGTAAAGTACTTAGCACAGGCAGGACCTGGTACATAATACCTACTCGATAAAGAGCAATTATGTTTGCTCCCCTCATAAATCCAAGGGTATTTCCACTCCATAAAAAGGCAACTCACTCACACTAACCACATGTTCCAGGTTTGAACACGCGATTTAAAACACTAAGCCTTCTAGACTCTATTTCTACAGAATTTCTAGGGGGAATCCACAAAATAACATTATACAATTACCCAAGAGGCTGGATCAATGAGGAAACTGTTCCAGTGACCTTCAAGACACGGGTACCGTAAATATAAGCTGGTCCTACTACAGCAGAAAGTCAAAGAGCCTGAGGAACATCTATTTCCCAGGTAATTCAAGAATATATAGTGTTTTCCAATAAAAGGCATAATTTAAAAAGAAATCAGGAGGAAAAAGATTCCGCCAATATAGAAAGAAATCAAAACCCCTGGGAAAGGGAATCTGGCAATATCTGACAAAATTACATTTGTATGTATCCTTTGACCCAGCAATCCCATTTCCAGGCATCTATCCCAAAGACACAATAGCAAAAACATGAAAATATATAAGCACAAGATTATTCGATGCAGCACTATCTGTAACGTTAAAGATGGGAAATAACCCAAATGTCCAGCAGTGGACAACTGGTTATATAAAATATATCCACACAATGCAGAATTATGTAGCTATAAAATGGAAGGAGGCAATCTCTATATACTATGAGGGACCAATCTCTGAAATATTTTGTTATGTGAAGAAAACCACCATGGAGAAAAGTGTATATGGAATGCAACCATTTATTTAGAAAGGGGGGCATACAAGTATCTATGTCTTTGTTTATATTCTATTTTTTTTTAAAAAAAGGCAGTTGTTTCAAGTTAAAAACTCCTCAGGAAGCAGGGAAGGTGAAGGGAAGAGAGATAGTAGACTACTTAAATATACCTTGTTTTTTAGATTTGCCTTTAGAGGTATAAAAAATGCTTTATATGATTATAAAACAAATTTTAATTTTTTAAAATTATACTTTAAGTTCTAGGGTACATGTACACAACGTGCAGGTTTGATACATAGGTATACATGTGCCATGTTGGTTTGCTGCACCCAGCAACTCGTCATTCGCATTAGGTATTTCTCCTAATGCTATCCCTCCCCCACCACCCCACGCCCTGACAGGTGTGTGATGTCCCCCACCCTGTGTCCAAGTGTTCTCATTGTTCAATTCCCACCTATGCGTGAGAACATGCAGTGTTTGGTTTTCTGTCCTTGTGATAGTTTGCTGAGAATGATGGCTTCCAGCTTCATCCATATCCCTGCAAAGGACGTGAATTCATCCTTTTTCTGGCTGCATAGTATTCCATGGTATATATGTGCCACATTTTCTTAATCTAGTCTATCACTGATGGACATTTGGATTGGTTCCAAGTCTTTGCTATTGTGCTATATGATTATAATACAACTTTTTAAAAATGAAACCCTGAATACTGAAAATAAAATGAAATACATGCACTAACTGCATATCTAGCTGATGACATAACCACAGAGAGAGAATGACTCCAAGTGACTTTAAATACAGTTATCAGACTGTAAGACTACACACTGCTGGCATATCCCTAAAGAAAAGAATAAAAATGTTTTTAACTGTTTTCAACATTTATGTTGCCGATGGGTGGTGTGGGTACTGTCATTCTGAGACTGTTAACGTATACAGTGGGCGATAAGGCATGTCAATAGTTATGTTTTGTTACTGAGAAGTGGGATTTTTGGTGAGGTTTACATGAAGGAGAGAGATTTAAGATTAACATAGTAAAAACCCCATAAACCTAACTTTAAGTAAACTATTAAGTATCTACATTAACTCACAAAAATTTTATCTTTTAAAAAATACCAATTTCCTAGCTCAGATCACTGACAAGGTCTATAATTAGTGATCAATACCATCCCCACTAGTAAGTACCAGGGCTCCTTGGAGAAATGTCTAATTCCAAGTCTGGGACAGGAAATGTACAAGATGAGGTGGCAATATCTTGTCATATTAAAGGAATTTTTCAGAGACTACTAGGGCTGTGTCAAAAGGACTCAGCAGAGAACTCCTAGTCACCAAAGACTGGACAATTTAACCATCAATAAGATAAATGCAACTGACTGAATATCAAATATTTGAATCTAAAGTTCACAACAGTAGGAGGAAAAAAGGAAAAGGCAGGCAGGAACTCGTGAATTTCTGAAGGATGTTAGGGAACATCCTTCAGAAATGGAAAACAGGTTAAAAAAGACAATGGGTGGGAGAATGGATTAAGCACTTTTTCTCACTTTTCTTTATAAATGGTGTCTCAGAGAAATCAAATAGTTGATAGAAAAAGTTTTTCCATACAGAAATAGTCTAGCTAAAATATATATATATAACAGAATGACAAAAATCACCATTTTGAAACCCCCTCATCAGTTAATGCACCTAAACAATGGACATCAATGGCCACAGCCCACAGAAGAGCTGACCAGGTACTATGTACCTCTGGACAGGAGGCCATAACACCACTTAATCAAATGTCTTGCCAAAAATACCTGGTCAAGCCTCTAAATCTAATACAGAAAAAGATGAACATGTGTAACCTCACTACAATAACATAATTAGCCATATCCAGACCAAATTCCAGTAGAAAACAATAAGGAACAAATGACTCAGCTTCTTGAAAAAAATTTTAATGAAAATGCTGGGAAAAAAAGGGAATGAAGGAAGGCCATATAGATTGGAAGAGATTTAAGAAACATATCAACCAATCACAAAGTACAGACTTTATCTGGATCCCAATTCAAATTTTAAAAACTGGAAATATTTAAGACAGCCTAGAAAACATGAACACTGATTAAATATTTGATACTAAATTATTAACATTTCCCAAGGTAAGAGGATTGAAAAGGATTTTTTAAATCATTTAAAAAGCCTTTATTTTTAAAGGATTTTTCTCTTTTAGAGATAGATAATGAAAAATTTACAGGTATAATAAAATAATGTTTGAGATCTGCTTCAAAAAAATTCAGGCTGGGCACCATGGCTCACATCTGTAATCCTAGCCCTTTGGGAGGTCCAGACAGGAGGATCGCTTGAGCTCAGGAGGTCGTGGCTGCAGTGAGTCAAGTTCATGCCCCTGCACTCCAGCCTGTGCTACAGAGTGGGACTCTGTCCCTACCCTACCACACACAAAAAATTAGGGGAAAGAAGTCAGTAAAGTGAGAGGGGAATAGATACAAAAAAATTTAACAGTGAAGCACGGGGATAGGTACATAATTGTTTATTACGTTTTTATTTAACATATAAAATTTCGTATGTTTTGAATTTTTCATAAACAAGTTAAAAATGATTTTTAAAACTGGAACATCCAGAGATAGGCCAGCAAAAACAGAGACGAGAAACAAAAGAATTCGTTCTGAGCTGTTAAATCCACATAATAGGAGTAGAGGTCTTCCTACCACAGAAGGTGAATCAGGACCTTTAAAGAAACAATCGTGCTTCATAAAGCTGAAAAGGAGTCAGACACTAAGGTGCAGAAAACGCTATTCTGTGCTTAAGCAACAGATGGGCTTTCAGCCAATGAATCCACCAGGGCCATTTCTGAGTGCTACACCATTTTCCATGGGTCCCTAACTTTTCATTGAAGATTATATTGACAGCTGTACATGTATCTGATATGGCAAATCAAAAAACAAATTGCTCTCCTAGAACACGGATCTGAAATAAAAGAGAAGGCCAATGCTCAAACAATAAATTGACTTGTCAAATCAACTAGTTACTTCCCAACTCTGACAACGTACTTGGAAATGAATGATACTGTTAAGGTCAAAACCATATATATACACAAAACCTCAGTAAATCTAAAATTCTGAATGGAAAATTTTAGGGATACTTAGAGGCACTTTCCATTTTTTCTAATAAAGGGCATGCCTTTGGAAAAGAAAATGAGATGAACGTGTGGCTTCAACAGCATCAAAATATAAGAAATAATTTTCTAAACCATCAGTAACTGTACTAAAACAATGAGCTTCAAGCAAGGGATAAAATTATACTCCACAAGGATCAAAATAAATCAGCAGATGATTCAACAGCCAAATTAAGAGAGTTTTCAATGTAAATGAAGGAGAAATTATTTTAGCTATGTTGGAAAGTTAACTATCACAGAGAAAAATAAGCATGCTAAAAAAAAAATTAGAACAGTGGAAAAGTATCCAGTAATTCCCATGAGAAAAAAACAACAAATTAGGGAGTTCTACATTCAGACACAGAGAGAGACAGAGATCCGTGTAAAGAAAATAGGTTTAATCACTGTACTGGTTTTTTGTTTGTTTTTCACCCAAGGAAGTAAATAAAATTTAAGAAGTGAGCCTCAGTAGACCTCATGAGTAAACATGGTGTTGGAGAAATGTACTTTGCCTAAATGGAACAGCCGATAGATGAGGTGAGACACCAGCAACATATATACCTGAGCACATGCATCTTCCCAGGGAGACGTGCAGTTTTGATCATATTCTTAGGGTGGTCTGTGACTCAAAAAAAGGATAAGAACTACTTCTAATATAGAAAGTATTCCTGCAATTGGCAAAAGGTCAGAATAAATTATCTCTGTGGTCTCTTTGTTGTCTTATCTAAAATTTGTCAGCTTAAATATACAAATTATAAAACTTTAGAACTACAGGCAAACTGAGAAAAGCAAGGACAGAAAAGTAGGGACCTGCTGATGAGGTTCTAAGAATAACAGCACAAAATCAGGGTCCAAGCAGAGGCAGATCAAACAGCTAGTGAGAAAGTGCTCATCAAGTTATCTGCCCTGAAATCTCTACACCAGTGCTGAACACTACCCATCATCAGTCACTCCTGTGGTTTTAGCTATTAAATCCAGAAAAGCAGTTTCCAAGGACAGACAAATTTAATGCCTATTTACACTGACTTGTTAGTTTTGGCTGAAATAAAGGGTTAGTCACAAAAGAGAGAAGAAAATAAAACTGCAAAAAAAGAGATGCTATAAAGGACAGAATTAACCTCTGCTTCTTTACAGTGTGGCCAGGGTCAGCATAATGGGAAATGCAACAATCATTAAACACTGGAAGAAGGACAGCGACCACCTAGGTTACTCTGATAACATCTCTAGAGTACTCACCTGGGCCAAAACACTTTCCATCTCTGATTTCTTTTCGACAGAACACTTCTTATCAGACATCAATTTCTGTAAATGAGCTGTAAGAACAGTGTTGACATATGATAATCAACGGGAAAAAGGACAATGCACTTTTCAGTTTCAATGCTGGACAATTAAAAAGTAAATCCATGGATAAAGTTCTTAATTTACATGAATCCCATGGTTGATTTTACAGCAGTAGTCATGGTATTGTCTTGATTCATTTGCTAATTAGAAAAATCATCTGTATATAACTAATTAATCTACACAAAACTTTTTTAAAAAATAAGGGACTTGATTTATATACTTAAGATCTGTGCACTTTACTCTTTGAATGTTATGCCTCAATAAAACATTTAATGGAGAACATCTGAGAGAAAGTTTAAACCTTTTATTTTGATCAATCCTACCTGAAGGAGATGAAGAACCTCACCTTTTAATAGATGGTCAGCACGAAAACATTCTCCATTTTTCACATCTTTCACCATGAAGTCAGCAAATTTGTCTACATGGCCAGAGGTCCTAAATTAACAAACGCCAACTCAATTCGTCATTCTCGTACAAATTACACCTAGATATTACCTTATAACATAATTCCCCATCAGTGTTTATATCTGTGTATCTCAAAGATGGAAGCTCCCACATCTATAGTAATGATGTATCCATGACAGACAGTAATGTATGCCAGAGAAAATTCTTCCTCAAATCTATTTTTCACCCTCTCCCACATTCTTCCTTCCCATAAGAAAAAACACATTAACTACACAATAAAAAGACAATTCTTTTCTACAAGTTGTCATAAAGTCTGTACTATTCTTCAGGATCAATTAATCCATGCCTATGCCATTATTATTAGTGATCTAAACAAAGGTCAAAATCATTGGGAATTTGACTAGTTAAAAATTCATGGCAGTTCAGTATAGACATTGAACCTTAAGAAAGTGGTTCCTGCCACTGAAACCTGTACTGACATTGGTATTATCTCTACAAAGTTCCTATTGGTGGAACAAGAAGCTAAAAGGATAGGTAGTCTTGATCTTATAGAGCCATCATCCAGAATTCCTCATCTTAACTGGCTGAAATTATTAAGAGAACCTAACAAATGCCAATAGTAAAAATCAGCTCTCCACCAGGCAACCTTAAATGAATAATGACGAGTTACAAAATGGCAAGAATTCCTCTTTGAGTTTCACATTCTGAAATTATGCCCTACTTTGGGAGGCCGAGGCGGGCGGATCACTAGGTCAGGAGATCAAGACCACCCCGGCTAACACAGTAAAACCCCGTCTCTAATAAAAATACAAAAAAAATTGGCCAGACGTGGTGGCGGATGCCTGTAGTCCCAGCTACTTGGGAGGCTGAGGCAGGAGAATGGCGTGAACCCGGCAGGTGGAGCTTGCAGTGAGCCGAGATCAAGCCACTGCACTCCAGCCTGGGCGACAGAGCGAGACTCCGTCTCAAAAAAAAAAAAAAATTCTGCCCTACTTTCAATACTGTTGGTAGGAATAATCTAAGTTTCTGCATTGAAACTTCAATACAAATAGTATTTAATTGAAAATCTCTACAAATATACCTTTGCTCAGAACTTCTAAAAACTTGTATTAAGGAAATAATCAAGGATACACCCAAAAATCCATCTATCAAGATATTCAGTGCAGTCAAAAATGAGAAACACCTTAATGCTTTCAATATGGCACAAACTAACATATTATGGTACTTCCATAAAACAATACTATGCTGTCATTAAAAATGCTTCAGATGAACAGTTAATGACATGAGTATGTATTAATCTATATTACATGAAAATAAGCAGTGTACTGCTAACACTGAAATACATAGGGACATACAGAAAAAACAGATTGGAAGGACAAACACAATCATCTTAACATGGCTATCTGTGAGCAGAAGGTATATGTTTCTTTGTTTTTCCATATTTTCCAGATTTTCTACATGAACATGAGTAGTTCTTTATAATCAGGAAGTTATTTAGATAAGCATATTAAATAATTTAATAAGTTGTTTTATTTAAAGTAGGATTCCCCCCACTCCAAAGTAGGATCTCACTTTAAAACTGGCTCAGGGGTGAGCATGGTGCAATCGATCTCCAGGATCTGTTCCTCTTGGATAAAGTGCTGCCTCCAGGTCTGAATAATATTGTTCTTCAAAGCACAGCCAACTGGCCCAAAGTCATACAGACCACTAACACCTATAGAATATGAGAGGAAAACATGTACTTTACTTTGTTACTCTGAACAAATGAAGGCAAGGAGACATGAGAAACTGATACCTACAAGACTTCACATACTCCCTAAAAGTGTATTCAAGTCAACAATGCAAATCCCTCAATACTGAAGAGCCTTACTTTCAGCTAGCTGATGGAAGTAAAATAAAAAAGCTCTTACACCATTTACTAATTTCCTATTTATTCCCTAATTTCAAGCAGGACTAGCCCAAAATCTACAACAAAAGTTCCCCTTATACAAGAAACAGAATGAAAAAACAGATTATAGTTTTCTGCCATAAAAATTCGAAAATAATTTCTCACAACATCTGATAACAATGAGCTATAATTTTAGCATCCAATTCTCTACTTTATTCCTGGGTATTTGAGGCACTATTTAACCTCAAAAGGGTAAACATTTACAGATCTGCTTAGCCAAACTCAAGTCAACTTTCAGTGGCAAAGTACTATATGTCTAACGTTGTTGTAATAATCTACTGACTATGAAAAATACAGTTTTACATTTCATCAGTGAATTGCATTTGCCTATATACCTTCATATGGCATTCAGAGTGATTGATCTACATCCCTGGGACGAATGCTTTCTCCTGGCAGATGACCATAAAGAATAAACTAAGGACTGTTTTACCACCGCCCCTGTGTGAAGGGTCACAGTATAGTTAGCCAGTACTATAATGGCCCTCTGTCGCTCCTCAGTCACATTGCATTTTAAAAAGAGTACATGAGTACACAGACACATCAAATGCATACATGGGCCTCCAACAATTCCCTACATCCTAATGGAAAATAGTGCTCTCCAAGAATAAATACAGTGGAGAAAAATAACAGGTATTACACCAAATGGCGACTCCAAGCAAACAAAAGCAAAACATCTATCCCCTGCTTTGTGGCCTGATACAAGCAGATACCAACAGGCAAGCCATGTTCTCGATTTAAGTATAATATTAGAGCCACTAACAACACAACAGTTCTTTTTGTCGTTAATCCCTTACCTCCATAAATAGCAAAAGCTTGATCATAGAAAAACCTCCTCTTCAGGGTATCTTCCATTTTTGCTCGGTCTACAATATCATCTTTGGGCTGTAATGCCAGCTCCTGTTAGACATTAAATAAAAAGTGAGTGATTGGAGGGGTGGGTGGGAATCTGAACTTACGTATCTGAATTTAGTTTATTCCTCACCAGAATTAAATATAAAATTTATCAAACAGACAAGATTTTGACAGGTTAAAAACAATAGAAGCCACAGGTCTTTTTTTCCCTTTGAGTAATATAAAAGATACCTTTACTTCATCATTTAGGAAAATATATGATCATTTCCAAGATTACAAGACTAAGCTTGGCCAGGTGCGATGGCTCATGCCTGTAATTCCAGTACTTTGGGAGGCTGAAGTGGTGGATCACCTGATGTCAGGAGTTCAAGTCCAGCCTGGCCAACATGGCAAAACACTGTCTCTACTAAAATACAAAAATTAGCTGGGTGTGGTGGCGGGCACCTGTAATCCCAGCTATTTGGGAGGCTGAGGCAGGAGAACCACTTGAACCTGGGAGGCAGAGGTTGCAGTGAGCTGAGATCGCACCATTGCACTCCAGCCTGGGCAACAGAGTGAGACTCCATCTCAAAAAAAAAAAAAAAGGACTAAGTTTACTTCAATGTAGATACTGATAAGCAATATAAGCAATATTTGAATTGTTCGTGGATTGCTATAGCAAAATGATTAATTTAAAACCCCAAACAACTTAAGTTTGGTGATGGGAGATCTATTGTTTGAAAGGTCTGGGAGCAGGTATCAAATAAACAGACTTTTTCCTTAAAACAAACAAACAAAAATCATTATTTCCAGACATAAGAGAAGTCGTAAAGAAGAGCACAGTCCTTTCCATGGAAATTCATGCAGCGTATTGAGTCCAGAATTTGCAGGGTCAGGAAGGCGTTATTAAAAAGTTGACATTTTGAGTTGCATTTCGAAAGGATGAGGAGTCTACCAGGTAGAGGGAAAGGAGAAGAAGGCATTATGGATAAACAGATAAACCAAATGATACTTGTTCAGAAACTTTTCTAGGTCTCTCCCATCCAAAGAAATTAAAGATGAACAATCCTATACCTACTTACGTTCTTATTTTAGCATCCCAGGACTCACCTTTGCTTCCAGAACCCTCTTGCGGGCTTTGAGCTCAGCCACTGCTTTGTCTACATCTACTTGGGGTGCTTTATCTTCTTTGAGTTTTCGCACAAGATCTCCCTAGCCAACAAAAAGAATTTATATTCAGGATTGGTTTCAGAAGTCAAGAAATGTTAGAAATGTGTTTTTAAGCATGCCTTTTAAAAAGTCTATGTAAGAATGATACAATTCAGGTCAAGTGTGGTGCCTCACGCCTGTAATGCCAGCACTTTGGAAGGCCCTCTTCACTACCTGAGGTCAGGAGTTTCAGATCATTCTGGCCAACATGGTGATACCCCATCACTACTAAACATACACAAATCAGCCAGCCGTGGTGGTGGGCACCTGTAATCCCAGCCACTCGTGAGGCTGAGGCAGGAGAATCACTTGAACCCGGAAGGCAGAGGTTGCAGTGAGCTAAGATCACGTACGTCACTGCACTCCAGCCTGGGGAACAAAGTGAGACTCCGTCTCAAAATGAAAAAAAAAAGAATTATGCAATTCAAATGTTTATTATGCGATTGGTCATTATGAATGAAGGTCTCTGCCCTCTTCATTTATAATCTAGAAGAACATACAGGCAAGTTAACAAATAACTGCTCACAGGGTAAATTTTTTCCTTTGGGTATAGAGGGGAGAAAAAGGAGGGGAGAAAAGCATTGATTAAAAAGTAAGAAAGAGCAAGATCTGTACTGAGAACACAGAAGAACCAATAAATCGACCACCCTCTTAAATCTCTCTCCTCTCGCTTACAAAAAACAAAAAAATATTATTCAGTTTTCCTTCCACTTCTCTGATCATTCTTCTCAGTCACTGCTGGCTCATCTTCCTTTGCCTTTCTCTTTATAGTTGGAATTTTTTCCTTGCTAATATTTCTGAATTATTTTATTAACTTCCAACAACCTATACTAATTCCATATTTATAGTAATATGGTGAACTAGATCATCTGAGAAAACAAACAAAATATTACCTATACAGGATGAAAAACTTTCAGCTGAGTAATTAAAGTTGTTAAATTGATAGAGCCCTTGGGCACCCAAGAGTTTTTAATTTCAGTGATCCATTTCCATACAATATGTGGTTCATTTTCACACTGCATGATTGTTTTTGGTAGTCTCTTGTTCTTTGCTCATGTTTTTGAGTCCTCCTCCTATTTTAAAAAATTATCTTAAGCATTTTAAAAGTATGTGATTATTCTAATACTTTTGGAGAATCTAATTCTATTATCATTTCCCCTGAGTCTCACAAGGTGGCTCGTTTCCTTGTGGGTTTTTAAATTTTGAGTTTAGCACTTATTATTTTGGTAACCGTAATCTGTGAAATATCCTAGAAGACCAATGTGGAAAGTCTGCTTCTTTTGCAATATGACGTTCTGGGTAAAGTATATGAAGAAAGACATACATAGGTGGAAAAGGAAAAATAATTTTAAAAGCCGTTTCGCATAATTGTGGATATTCTTTGATACTACCTCAAAACTCTGACAAGTGTTACTTTCTTCAAGGTTATTTCTAACTCAGAAACTATAGCAATGAATTTTTTGTACTGTTAGAATAAATCTATTAATGTATCTTAAGCTTTGAATGGCTCTATCACCTATACCTGATTTCATATCATGCACTGGTCACCTGGAAAAATATTGGTTCACTGAGTTATGCAGATTATCCAACTACTATCAAAAAAAAGAAATCCACGTTTGTTAATATCACCACTCATCTCATCACAAATATCTTTAAGGACTGTGAAGCTGCCAAGCTCACAGCAGAAGATACGCGTTTTCTCAAATTCTAAAATTTCCCCAAAGGTTATTATTGGCCACAAATAGTAACCACTGTTTTCTTAAAGTGACAAACTCACTCATTCATTTTCCAGATTAACAAATTTCTATGAAACGTGCTACTAACAAGACCAGTCGTTAAGTAAAAATCCCACTCCGGAAAGGTTTTCAATTGCACTTCACAATGGAATTATCCAAAATGGATAGGGGTGACAGTGTGTCTCACTTCCCCATAAACAAAAAATGGGTAAAATTAGATCCTCTTTAAATTATCTTTCAGCTGACATCGGACTCAATAATTCACACAATTAACTAACTGATATATGTGTGTTCCTGGAAAATTAGAAAAAATATCCAAACTAACTTAAATCAACTAACTCACATATTCGGAAAATATCTTAAAGTACAAAACAATTAATAATCAAGACAATATAAACAGTACACAAGGCAGTAACAGCATCGGAAAGCTGCCGCGATCAAAGTTTACTTTAGTTAACTTGATCCAGTCTTAACTACCAATGGATGATTTTCACTGCAGTTCAGGCTAACGTGGCAGAGGGAGGGGTTTGGGTGTGGTTTTTTTTCCCCCAAATTAGTTGTATGCTCCCTTCTAAAGGGAAGGATATTTAAAAAAAAAAAAAGGCAAGTTAAGAAAAGACAAAGGAACCACACCTAATTTTATTTGTGGAGTGGAAGGTGGGTGGAGGGAGACAGAGAATATACAATCTGTGTTCTGACACCAATCATGAAGAAAAAAGTTAAGCCCGTGGTGATATTTCAAAATGAAAGGCTATTTATTAAAATCAGTCAGGCTCAAACCAGTGAAGAGGACAGATGGCAAAGTGGCTGAATTTGCGGCAGCTATGCCCTAGTGAATTATTTCCGAGAGAGGGTTCCACCCTCTGTAGCTAAGGCAAATTATTGCATCAGGCGCCCATGCAGGAGAAACCCGTTTGGTGTTTACTACTAGGTCATCGATCTCCGGGGTCCTACTGCAAGCTTCTGGCTCTCCCTAATTGGATATGGGAATCATCTGAAATAATCTTTTCCTCGCCATCTCTAAATTCTAACCTCTATGGCAGTGCCCTAGGTAAAGGAGGGCTACATTAAATCACCAAGCCCTCCAGCCCATGAAACCTTCCCTCACCTTCGGGAAAATCAAATTTCAAAATATTCCATACTAAGGATGGCTGACTTCACCAAGTAACTCCGCAACATTTAGTTTCCCAGGTTTACGATCTGAGAGCTCACTGGTTCCAAATGGACTGTTCAGAAGCCAGAAAAGATGACACGAGCAAAGGATGATGAGTTCACAGCATTAATAGAAGAAGTTCGACACCTCCCCACATCCACGTTTCAACTCTGTTTTCTCAGCCAATCATTCGGCTAAACTAAGCACTGAATGAAGGAAGATGTTAAGGAGGAAACACTATTCAAAGCGTCCTGAAGATTAAAGGGCCTGGCCATAAGACGAAAGAACCGGCAGTTTTTCGGCTCATCATTGACCACGGAAAGTATTAGGAAGCTTTCCACCCAAGGTGCACAAAGAGTACAGCAGAGCCTGGAAAACTGAAGGTTATTCAGTTAGGAGGCGAGGAGAACCAAAGGGTCACAGATCCCAGCCCCACTGGAAACAGAGGAGACGTGGGCTGTGACAGAATGGGGAAGGGAGAACAGAGCCTGAGGAGAGGGACGCAGGAAGTCGGAGGGGTTCCAGGGAGTCATCCAAACAGAGAGGAGGACGGAGGTCCGCAGGAGATGAGGTGGCTGACGCACGGGGGACTTGGGACCAAAGTGGGGGAGGCGAAGAAGACGCCAGAGGATGAATGGAAAGAAAGGGGTAACCGAAGAGGAGGACAGTTCCTCGGGGAGGAGGGAAGGATAGCCAGAAGAGGGCCCTGGAAGCAGAGCCGAAGGCTTAGCAGAGGGCGCAAAACACCGGTACCTGCTGGCGCACTGCTAGCCTGAGAGGTGCCAGCACCTCCTCAGCCCCCGCGCCGTCCATGCTGCTCCGGGAGGCGGCGGGGAAGGAGATCGGGGCGCAGGAGGGCGCGCTGAGGGGTCGGCGGGGCGGGAGCGAGGGCCGGGCTAAGAGCCGGGGCGGTAGCAGCAGCAGTAGAGCGGCGCGAGCACCTCTAAGCAGCGCTGGACGCGGAGAGGGCATGAGCCGGCGGCCCTGGGCGGTCTAGAGAGGGTGGCGACGGAAGCGGCGCGCGCGGCCAGGCCCGGAGCATGATGAAATCGCCGCGTAAACGCCGCGGCGCGCGTGCTGCCGCACATTCCCCACCCCACGACGCGGCGCCGGGTCGCCGCCGCAGATTCGACACAAAACCCGGAAGGACACATCCTAGGGTTTTCTCCGGCTCGGGCGAGGGGTAGGGCTGCGAGTGAACAGATTTGCACAGAGGTGCGTCAAGCCACCCCAGCATCGTGGGGTGGATGTTCAAAGACACAGCTCTGAGCGAGACCTGCAGGCTGAGGCACACAAGAACCTTCAAAGCATAGGTTTTTACACGAGTGACACCCCGGCGGACCTACTTGAACGCACACTTCTGTTTCTGTTCTTTCGCGCTCTGCGCCTTAGAAGGGTCGCAAAACATCAAATCAGATAGGGACCTTAGACTTATGTTGCTCAAGTGCAGATGTTCCCCAGATGAGGAAATAGGCCCAGAGAGGTTAATGATTTTCCCAGTGTCATACATTCCTGGTCCGCCGATGTCAAGACAAACGCTGGCGAAAGGCGGAGGAGTGAAGGGAAAGGGTCACCCCAGGCTTTCTGGAGAAGGTAAATTCCAATCTGCCCTTGCGGGGCGAGCAGGATTTGAACCAGCAGAGAGGAGGAAAGGCAAAAGGTGCCTGATAAGTCCTTCTGCTTGGCATAGCGTCAATCTATCTGCCTCCTGTGGTTAGGCCCCAGCAGACCAACCACCCAGAGATGGCCTCCGCCTGCCCCACACCCGGCTCCTCCTGCCCAAAAGGTGGAGGGCCTAGAAAAGCTGGGTTCCCTCTCCAGAAAAAGAAGAGAAAAATAATGTGTTGGTTATAAAAAGAGCATTGCACACACCTGCAAAAATGGCTAAAATGAAAATGATGGAAAATGCCAAGTGACCCTCTGAGACTCTCCTACACTGCTCAGGGGAGTGTCAACTGGTGCAGCCAGCCACTTGGGAGCTCTTTGGCAGTATCCACTGAAGCGGAGCACACACATCTCCTGTCACCCACAATCCCACCCAGGAGTGTGCAGGAGTAGACGGGCTCACTATAATGAAGTCTCCCTTCCTAATAGTACGAAAGTCCATGTTAGTTCTCTTCCCATTCCAGTGTGCAGTTCTGGAGAAGTTCTTCCAATTCAACATGAGCAGGGTGGGTTGCTTAAGAACCTTCTGCAATATTGAACAGTTTATATTTTTAAACACTTTTATTTCAAGATTTGATATCAATTATAATTCATTTGGCTTTTATTTTACTAGGTAATTTTGAATTTATTTTAATATTTTTAAATGTGAAAATCATTTTAAGTATTACTTTTATTTTTATTTAGATTTTTATTAAAATGTTGAAATTCTATATCCTTTGAATAAAACTGTATTTTATTTCTAAAGAGTTCCTTAGATCAATAATGTCTCATCCATTTTCATGTTAGAACAGTCCTGAAAGGACTCCAAATCTGTTCTTCCCTCCTCCCCCACCAATTCATCCTCCCCACTGCTGCTTCAGTCTTTCTTTCTTTCTTTCCTTCCTTCCCTCCCTCCCTCCCTCCCTCTGTCTTTCTTTCTTTCCTTCCTTCCTTCCTTCCTTCTTTCTTTCTTTCTTTCTTTCTTTCTTTCTTTCTTTCTTTCTTTCTTTCTTTCTTTCTTT